TCAGCTCTTCAGCTCAAGGCTAGCGCTCTACCACTTGAGCCACAGCGCCACTTCCGGCTTTTTTCTTTGTGCTTATGTGGTGCTGAGGAATTGAATCCAGGGCCTCATGCATGCAAGGCAAGAGCTCTACCACTGAGCCATCTTCCCAGCCGCAAGATAGAGGTTTTTTTTATGGAACCCCTTTTTACGACCAGAACGTTAAGATGGGCGGATGCCTTTTGCAATCCAGTAAAATATACCAGCACTTGCCTAGCTGGGGGCTTACATTCTGCAGCTCAGTCTGTGTCTTCAGCTAGGTATATATTCCAGTGTGGGCTCTGATCCCAACAGGGCCTCCCTGCCCCGCCCCGCCCCGCCCCGCAGGAGCGCTGCAGCTGCCCCGTCTGCCTGAGGCCTGTCTGTCCGAGGCTGAGGCTGACCTGCACTTGCATGTAGAGATGGGCCTCCTGCCGTTCCTTCCGCTTCTGAGCCTCGATCCTTTTCTCTTCTTGCAATCGTTCCACCAACTGCTGAGGAATATCATGGTCTGTGACAGCTTGTAAAACTTCACCTGCAGGACAAACGCATCCTCTTTGACCTCGGTGCGGGGTCTGCTCGCCCCCTTACAAGGATACAACAATGGAAAGCTACTTGGCACCAGGAGTCCACGCCAAAGCCACAGCCCACTGTATGGGTGACACAGTGAGGCCCACTGTGTTTTATTATATTGCTTAAAGAGCCTATTAGACAGCAAGACAGCTAAAGGATGTGTGCACCTCCCCACAAATGTGCCACAATGAGGGACACAAACCCAAGTACTCACTTAGCTTTGATTCCCTGATATACACTAACATATAGGCATTAGTGCAGTGTCGCACAGAGAGGTCATCGTCATGACCCCCGTAATTGTGCTCGATCGCCTCTTCCTTAGTACACCTGGAGACCACATCATCATCAAACTTGCACCACTGGAAAAGGAAACCAGCCAGAATCAGCAGAGACAAAGTACTAGCACAGAACACTCTGCAGCGACATTTTAAACACACACAGTGTCCAATCCAACCCACCCCAGGCATCTGTCCTCAATACTTCCACCTCCTTCAACATCTACCTACTACAGCAAGCACATTCCCGACTTGTCTGGGGTCTGAGTGCAGGGCCTTGTGATTGCGAGGGAAGCCCCCTCCACTTGCACTGTGCCTCTAGCCCCTGCTCCTGCCCTGAATCTAGCATAACTTGTACCCGTCGCCATTTCCAAGTCTCTGTGTCCTGGAGCGAGTACAGAGGTGGAATGCCACCCCACGCGGTACTTGCTGCACTACGGTGGCAGACCACGCGTTTTCCAGATGACATCATATCCTCTGCAGCCCGAGGGCCATGCAAACCCATACCCCTGACAAAAGGAGGGCCCCGACCCAGGTGATGAGTAAGCCTCCAATTAGAAAGGGATGCTGTGTAACATACAATCTCTAACGGACATTTACTATTAAATATTAGGCCCCTCACAGCTAGAGAACACACAGATCTGCTGAGGGTCAGAAAAGAAGGCTCAGCCCCACGTTGGAGCTGGGAGGTGCACCCTGCACCCACTTACTTTGCCGTCCCCCTTGGGGTTTAGATAAACCACATAGTGTCCGCCATGGTTGTCTCCACTGTGAACCAGGACGGCATGCAGGATGTAATTCGCAGGGTCCTTGGGGTCTGTCTTCTGCAAAAACTCATCGAGTGGTAACTGCTCTGGAAACTCAAACCTATTAAAAAACAGTTTTAAAGAAATTCAGTTATGATTTATGCCCAGAGTTCTTTTCGGTTTTACTTATTACAAGCTTTTTTAACTTAATGGTTCATCTTTAATGACAAAACATGATTTTGACTAAGGTCGTTGGACAACCCTTGAGATTTCCTTTTAGTTTAAAAATCTGTTATTCGGGGCTAGGAAGGTTGCTCAGTGGTAGAGCGCTTGCCTTGCATGCCTGAGGCCCTGGGTTCGATTCCTCAGCACCATATAAGCAAAAAGAAAAAAGCCAGAAGTGCCACTGTGGCTCAAGTGGTAGAGTGCCGGCCTTGAGCTGAAGAGCTGAGGGACAGCGCCCAGGCCCAGAGTTCAGGCCCCATGACCGGACCCAAAAACAAACAAACAATAAAAATCTGTTAATCATGTCAATAAAGGCTTAAGGCTGGATTTGAGAGGTGGGTGGAACACCCATACAGAATGAGTATAATAAATTACCACTGAACTTCTCAAGGCATGGATTGTCCTAAGGTACTCAACAATAAAAAGGTCCAGGAATTAACCACTGAGGTGACATGGCCACAACCTGTGGAGAGCACACAGTGAGTGGACAGAGCTGGACTTGGTCTTTTGGTCTGTCTGTCCCTCCTTCCTTTTTTTTTTTTTGGTCATGGGGCTTAAACTCAGGGCCTAGGTGCTGTCGCTGAGCTCTTGTGCTCAGGGCTAGATCCAGTTTGAGTGGTTTACTGAAGAGCGCCAGGAGGACTTTTCTGCCCAGGCTGAGTAGCTCGGATTAGGCATGAGCCTCTGGTGCTGGGACTTGGCTCTTCCAACACTCACTCATCCACTCACTCAAGGTGAGCAAACCCATCACGGCTGGGGACCAAGGCAAAGTACCCTCAGAGTCAGGAAGGCAGACCCGGCAGGGCAATCACCAAGAGATGCTGCTGGCTGAGGGGCGCCCTGATCGCAGCTCCTCCACCTGAAGGACTGTCCAAGTGTCTGGGACTCAATCTGTGCAAGCAGCAGAGGCCATTTCTCTGAATGCCACACAAAGCAGCAGGCAGAGGCCAGCAGCGAGTGCCTGCTGGGCACATGGACTCCCTCAGGTGAGGGGTGGCTACCTGCCCTCATGAAGGCACAGACTACCATTCCTGCACCTCATTTCTGAGGCCATCTGGAAGACCACTCGTTTCATGGGGCATATACCTGCATGAGTTCATGCATTCAGGAAAAGCAGGCACATTCTAGTTATCATCAGACGGAGAGCTTAAAGACTAAAGGAGAGCCAGGCAATAGTGGCTCATGCCCTGCAATGCTAATGACTCAGGAAGCCGAGATCCAGAGGCTCACAGTTGGAGGCTAGCTGAGATAGTATCCATCTTCAATTAAGCAGTGAAAAAACAAACAAACAAAAAACTGGGAAATAAGGCTTGTACCACTTGGTGTATTCAGTAGGAATTGGCACATTCTCTACTGCAGCATGTACTAATGTTAGGAGGCATGTGCACTAACCAAAATCCAACTGACTAAAAACACTGGCAACTGTAATCTGCCCTCACAGCCTTCAACCTGCTTCACAGGGGTAGAGGGCTGGAGAGGGAGAATCGCTAGAATAAGCTGGCCTCGGGGGTCTCCTGGGTGGACCTCAGTGCTGGGAGTCCCAGGGAAGGCAATACCAAAAGCACAAGAACAGCGGATGCCCCCTCACCCCGCCCGCTCCCAACCACTTTACCTATCGTTGATCTTGATATTTTGGTCCGTCTGAGGGTCGTACATAAATCTCATCAGCTGCAGATGTAGCACTGGTGGCAACGTTAGGAATTTCACACCTTTCTCTGCTTCCTGAACATGGAGAAGAAATGTGAATTAGCTCACCTCTACCTACCTTCATGAAGCCATGAAAGGACCGGTTTTATCACAATCGAAACAGGTCTGTGGAGTCAACAGTGCAAAACAAGGGAGACATCCAGCGGCCACCTAAGGCGTCTTCTTTATTAATCTCAGCACCTGAAAGGCCAGGGCTGGGGATCAAGCTCCACCTCAGCCGAAACTACATAGGCTCTGTCTCAAAAAGTTTTCATGGGCCAGGTGCTGGGGGCTCACGCCTACAATCCTAGCTACTCAGGAGGCTGAGATCTGAGGACAGTGGTTCAACGCCAGCCTGGGCAGGAAAGTCTTACCTCCAAAACTGCGAGTTTTTCTGCCTCAAAGTGGTAGAGGGCTAGCCTTGAGCAATAAAAAGCTCAGTGACAGTGCCCAGGCTCTGAGTTCAAGTACCATGACTTGAACACCTACATAGCGCAATCTATAGAACACACTACAAACAAAAAAAGGCAGAAACAGACTTGCTGCAATGCGTCAATAGGAAGCAGTCCCCTGAATTTTATAACTAGATAAAAGGTGGACTCAAATACAGCTTTGGGGGGCTGGGAAGGTGGCTCAGTGGTAGAGCGCTTGCCTTGCATGCATGAGGCCCTGGGTTCGATTCCTCAGCACCACATAAGCAAAAAGAAAAAAAAAAAAGCCGCAAGTGGTGCTGTGGCTCAAGTGGTAGAGTGCTAGCCTTGAGCTGAAGAGCTGAGGGACAGCGCCCAGGCCCAGAGTTCAGGCCCCACAACCGGACCCAAAAAAAATAATAATAATAATGCAGCGGATAGGGGCTGGGAAGGTGGCTCAGTGGTAGAGAGCTTGCCTTGCATGCTTAAGGCCCTGGGTTCGATTCCTCAGCCACACATAAGCAAAAAAAAGGAAAAAAAAGCCGGAAGTGGCACTGTAGCTCATGTGGTAGAGTGCTAGCCTTGAGCTGAAGAGCTGAGGGACAGCGCCCAGGCCCAGAGTTCAGGCCCCACGACTGGACCAAAAAAAAAAAATAATGCAGCAGATGAGCTAACAAGTCTGGGATGGTGACACAGAACAGGCGGCGGCCTGACCAGCCGCCACAGGAGTGTGGACAGCTCTTGTCATGAAACCCCTGTGCTGCCACACACCCACAGCCCTTTAGGGGGCATTAAACGTGGCAGCTCTCAACATAAAATAAAAAGAGCAGCACTGGAAAAACCAAAAATCTAAACTACTAAAAGCAGAGTCCAAGGAACTAAGAAACTATTTGTGGCCAGGAAAAACAAGAAAACCACCAGTAACACAGGGACGACAGGAGAAAACTTCCAGCCATGCTGTACGAGGGCACCAAGAGCTTCGTCTTTGCCTCGGGCCCCACCCTCCCTGTCTAGAAGACCCTGTGGGCAAAGCTCCCCAGGCACAGGAGCAGGCGCCCCCTCCCATGCTGCCCATTAACCAGCGACCCACGACGGTCAGAGGGGACGCTAGCACAGCACACCGGAGTCACCTTACCTGCAGGCCATGCTCCCCGGCATCGTACTTGTTGTCACCATCCAGCTGTTCCACTGCCACATAATCCACAAATGATTCAAATACTTGAGGGAGGAGAGACAGAGACAGAGAGAGGGAAGTCAACTGACATCACCACGAAGGCTGAAGTATATATCGCAGTATATAACTCAGTGCCAGGGAAGCCCAACAGAGAGCCCAAGAGACTGTGGCTTCAAGGCTGCTTGAAGACTGCAGCCGCAGGTGCCACAGCCACCCTCACTCAAGAGGACACAGGGGGTTTTTCCAAGGGTAGCAGGACAAACATGGAGACTCAAGGCCTTTTATCTAATTCTGGCCCCAACACTTATCACAGACCTATCATTAAGCAGGTGAGAACAAATGTGACTAGCTGGCTGAGGACCCGGAACGAGGGAAGCAAGGGTCTCAGCTGGACCCATTAGGGGCAAAGGGCTTGGCCCCGATGCCCACACACGGACTTGTTCTATTTCCTGGCTAGAATCTCTGAGACACTCCCAAAGAACCAGCAAAAAAAAGACCAGGCTTCAGCTATCATTCAAGGGGTACAGCACCAGCTAAGAGCAAGTAGTCAAGTGAGTTAGAGGCCCCGAATTCAAACCAGAATTTTGGAGGGGAGGAAAAGAAAAGGGAAGCTCTAAATTGCCAATAAAACATTTGAAAAGAATAATTTCTCACTAATGGTCGAGGAAAAAAAAAACCCTCAAAAAAGCAATTTGCATTTGCCATTAACTGTCAAGAGGCTGGAAAAGAACCAGACTTGGTTGGGCTGGGAAGGTGGCTCAGTGGTAGAGCACTTGCCTTGCATGCCTGAGGCCCTGGGTTTGATTCCTCAGCACCACATAAGCAAAAAGAAAAAAGCCAGAAGTGGCGCTGTGGCTCAAGTGGTAGAGCACTAGCCTTGAGCTGAAGAGCTAAGGGACAGCCCCAGGCACAGAGTTCAGGCCCCACGACTGGACCAAAAAACAAAAACAAACAAACAAACAAAAAAACAGACTTGGGCCTTATGACCTCAAACAAGAAAAGAGAGGGGGGGAGAGGGAGAGAGAGAGGGAGAGGGAGAGGGAGAAGGAGAGAGAGAAACATTACCTAGAAAAAGAGTTAATGGGGCTGGGAAAGTGGCTCAGTGGTAGAGCGCTTGTCTTGCATGCATGAGGCCCTGGGTTCGAAACCTCAGCACCACATAAGCAGGAAAAAAAAGCCGGAAGTGGCGCTGTGGCTCAAGTGGTAGAGTGCTAGCCTTGAGCTGAAGAGCTGAGGGACAGCGCCCAGGCCCAGAGTTCAGGCCACAGGACCAACAACAAAAACAAAAACAAAAAAAGAAAAAGTTAATGAAAATGTAGTCACACAATTATTACTTCCAAATGAGCGCCACAAATATGAAGTTGAATAAAAGCAAGCAAGAGCAGGGTAAATCACAGATCTCCTGAGCAGGGATCATCCTGGGGGCTGGAAGGCCAGAGGGCAGCTCCCTCAAGACTCGGGATACGGGGTGGGAATGTGGGGTAGGAAGGAGGGCTGGGGGGGGGGGGGGAGGACTCTGACAGGCTCTTTCATCATCTAGGAGGGG